CGGCGCACAGGCGTCCCTACTCGTATTTAAGCGTGCGACTGTAATTTCGTCATCACTCGATAAACTCGCCGCGGATATGAAAAACGCGGCTTTCAGCGTCGTAAACTCAGGCGGGTAATAATCGCGCCCGGTAATCGTGCGGTAATAAAGCTGATAATAAGGCCGCTCTCCTCAATGTCGATATCGATGGTAATTTCTCTCCCACCTGTCGCCCCTCGGTTTCACACCCCGGCAGAACACCGAGCGGGAAGACGACGTCGACCTGGGACGACAAGTTACCCCGTAAGTTAATGCGAGGACTCGCCCGCGCTCATGCCGGCTAATCCGGGCATTGTGTTACCTCTCTCGCTTAGGATCGCTAACATCGGGGTAGCTCGCACGTAGCATATTTATGCTATCACGAAATCCGAGATACAATGCGAGGCGATCGGGTTACTTCTGCCTTGTGCACGCTTATGGTTCTCGCTAAGGCTTCTTATGGTCGCATGACGTGCGTACGGCGCGGCGCGTTATTGTGCCAAGTAGTCGCGGCTTTGTCAACTTACGTACTGCGTCCTTGATGTCGCATTTAACGATCGAATCGCAAACAATCGGCTGTCTTCTGTCACGTCAGAACGCGCGTAAGCACCGCGGACTTAATTAGCTAATTAATTAGAAAGAGAGAGAAGAGAAATATTATTTGCGTTCGTAATAACGCTGTGATTCCATCTTTGGATCGTCCGAAATCAAAGGCTTTCGTGACACAAATCGCAAATTGGCAATTTTCGCGTGAGACAAAGCAAACGAAATGACCAGATAAAATTTACCAACAATCCAATTATCGCGCATCACATGTGTAAAATAAAATAAAATAATATATACATACATACACAAAGAACGCAGGATGTAAAATTCCCTCTCGAAATTAAATGGATTTCTTCGTTGATCAACGCAAATTTATTTTTCCATTGTCGCAGAAAAAAAAACAACTTCGTCATAATTTAGCGATTCGATATTCGATTATTCGAACTGTAACAAATACACCGCACGCTGTCGACGTGATGAAATTTATTTCTGCATATATTATTACGAGAGATGATAGACATAACGAAGTCCGTGCACAGAATCGGACACCGTCCAATCGTGATTAGAGCGAACAGCGAGTAATCGACGCATGTCAACGAGGAATCCGAAACAATCGTTAATATACAAATATTATCGTAGCAAACCGCATATGATTACATAACACACATACGCCCAGGCGTATTTCTCCGTTCTCATTCGAGGATTTTAAAGAAAGCACGCACGGGGCGGATGAGATAGCGCGCGATTAAATTGCATTGATGTTTACGCACGCGTTTATTAATGTGGATGATCGAATTTATCTGAATGAAACTCGAATTAGTAATAAATTACCGGTCGCAAACTGCGCCATCCGATGCTTTGATCAAACGTTCCATATTGGATCGCTCCGAGCGTTACGAACACGCGGTCTGCGATTCCGCGTAAAGGAATCTCGCGAGACCTGTAAACCTATCCGGCGAGTTACGTATGAATTATCGCAAAGCGAAGGCGAATATCGTAAGTAGGCTCTTTTACGTAAGTATGCTGCGCAAGATAGTACGCTTTAATTAGACCACATTGTAATATATTGGACTTCCAGTTGTTTGACTTCCGCGGCACAGCGCGTTGAAGAGGTTGAAGAAAATTAGTCGCTTAAATAGAAATTTAAAGATTTCAATCTTCCGCTGATTATCTTTGTCTTTGTGATATTATCTTTGTTACATTACGCCATTTGACGATGTCTCAGAAAGATACGAGAGTCACGTTTGGTTACGAAAAGGGCACCGACCTACACGAGCCATTTATACAGCGGATATTCTCTGGATTTGCCAAAGAAGAGCATTCATTATTGACCTATTCTTGTACGTAAGATTTCCAACGATCGATATCTATTATCAATATAACATTTATAGTTATACCATTAAACGTGCTGCTATTATCGTTGTTCACCAGCGTTGACGTGAAAAGTACTAACATAAACGAAAATAGTTTGGACGGTATCAATAAATCCATGACTGAGATACGACTACCGAGATTACGAGTACAAGATTAAGAGAGATAAACAAAACTCAAACGAAAATGTAAAAGACACGTAATTGCTCTGTCAGGTGAGCATGGCAACGAACGCGAGCCTCGACTCGGCCGACTAATGAGCGCTTTCGTTTTGCAAAATGACGGTAACCGGAGAGGCGAACATTGGCTTTCGCGCCCGCCGCAGTAGTTGCACAAGCGTGATACAACAATTAGCTGCAAATCCCGGACTCGCGCCGGACTTTCTAAATTCACGAATTAGTTTGAGAGCTCTCGATAAGTCGCGGTGTAACGCGCGGCGTATCGCGTGCAACGCGTGCTATGAGTAACGGTGAAACGCGTTTTTCCACACAGGGTGTGTGTGTGTGTGTGTGTGTGTGTGTGTGTGTGTGTGTGTGTGTGTGTGTGTGTGTGTAAGAGTGTTTCATCTCTTGCAGAGATGCATACGGATATGAGCGCATTAAACGCGTAAAGCGCAACAATCCGCGAGGTAAAAAGCATTCCGTGCGCGGTTCGCTTTCGCGTGCGCGTGTATTTGTGCGCGAAAACCGCTCCTGAAAACCGCGACGCGCATGAGAGATCGCGATCGCGTATTAGTTGCACAAGGAAATTCGATCGTCTCGGTCACGTAATGGACTCGCGAAAAAAAGACGCCGATTAAGGGAGACAAACGACGGTGACGTGGCGATTTGTCTCGCGGAGGTACGAGAAATAATACAGCGGCGGAATCGAGGCCGCGTAATGACAGTTCGGGGGAAACAGATTAACTAGTGACGGCATCGGCCACAACAGGCTGGAAAGGAAACTTTTTGTTAATGAGCGTTTGGCGAGACGATTAATACGCGTTGGATGAAGCGATCGACCACGGTGATAACGATATCATCTACACGATCCTAATAATAAATGGTCTTACAAACAAAAATGATGTGATTTCTAAATAAAATTAACGAAAGGTTTCACAGCAAGCAGAAAATTAATATCGGAGTTACTCGATTTGTTTAAGGCAAATTGATCTTCGTTAAGATATCGGTTTCAGTTCAGAGAAAACGCTTCTAATTGTTTCCACTAGAATACGTCATAGATACGCCAGTATATTGCAATTCTACCCGGCCATTTCGCGCGTCAAAGGACGACGAAATCGTGCGCAAGAAATTGAGTACCGTTTCAGCTCGTTCGTGACGGCTTCGTCGAAACGGCAATGGAACAAGACAATCGTAGCGTGCGCACGTCAGAGACACAATTTATCGCGACCTAACAGGTAGCCGACGGCAACAATTTTCAATTAGTTCCATCCGAGTAGCGTCGCAGGCGCGTCCGCAGCGCAACCGCTTCTTTCCTCTCCCACTTCGACATTATCGCCGATAAAATCGCGACAAAAATCGCGACCAACCCGCATCATGAATTTCGTCGCGATTGCCACCGAAACGTGAAAGAGGTTCGATAAGATGTCTATTCAAATCTGAAAAAAAATTTTCTGAGAGTTACCTGATTATAAAAAAATGTTAAATTGTTTAATCGTTAAAAATTTCAAGTGAGATAAAAGAGAAAATTTTTAAATGTGTCTTTTAAATAAATATATATTTATTATGCAAAGTCTTTAATATTTTTCACTCAAAAATTTATAAATCTCAAAATAAAATTAAGAATATCACGCGAATTTCGATAATCAAATTTGAAAAATTTGAAAAAAACTATATAAGGACTCTAAAATAAATATTTTATATTGCATAAAATTTTCAAAAGCTACAAACAAAAAAATTATATAAAGCATAATTGGTACAAAATTCAACTTTTATAAAATTACTAAAATAAATATCCGTTTTTATTAAACAAAATTGCATGTAACTCAAAATCATTATCTTCAATATTGAATATTGAATTAATCATAAAATCAATGTGCTTTGTTTAGAATAAATGAGTTCACTGTTATCATTAACAATTCAGTCGATAAACTCTATTATTATCACATAATAAAAACAAATTAGAAAAAAATACTTCAAAAAAATTCCCTGATGTTTCAATAAATTCCCTGAGAATTCTAAGTTTTTCAAGTTTTTCAAGTTTTTTTCAGATAGTGGACACCCAGAAAATTACTCTATAAATTAATGCGGATACCTGATAAACGCACGCGGGCGCACGTCGACACGATACAATTTTCCTCGTTAACAATAGTCAATAAAAGCCTACGTGCACGGCTCGCGTACATATTGTACTTCGATAATAACAGTCAACGAAACGTGCGAACGATCCCCGATCGTGTCATCGGTGAGAGATGGAATCTTTTTTATCCCGCGCACGTTGTTCCGCTTTCGCGTCTCGACAAAGGCGCGAGTCGGAGGCGCGAAGTTCCGCGTTCGCGCGGACGCTGATTAACGATCGCGCGCGATATTCCATCATACTTCCTTTTTCCCTTCCCCCCGTTTATATCGCAGATATCGCAAAGTGTTAGAAACGTCAGAGATCCCGAAATGTCGAGGAGACGCGTGGCCGAGAATATCGGCGGGCACTTTCGTCGCGATTAGTCGCTCCTCGTCGCACGGTTCTCCTTTCATGCGGCGCGACAGCGGGGGCAAAAGTAGAACTAAACTGTAAACGGTACTTCATGCCGCGTCCAATAAGTCATGCACTGAATAATGTCATGTGCCTGTGCGAACGTACACACAGGCGTATAGATATTGCCAGGCGGAAAGGCCGGGCCGATTCCTCGCAGCCAACGCGGGGCCCACCCGATCGTGAATGCGAGCGAATTAATGGGCAATAAATTCAAGCGCAGGATCGGTTAATTATCCAAGTCGTCTAGAGGCCCGAGTCGAGAGGCCCGAGATGACGTATCGCCCGGTTACGATCGATACGCGAGGATCTTTCTTCTCTTCTCTTCTCTCTCTCTCTCTTTCTCTTCTATCCCTTACGGTTGCGTTGTAGCTTACCTCGTGAGATACGGGATTGTTTTTGTTACGACCGGTGTTGGATGCGTTATTAATGGAGGAGAGTGTGGTGAGGGTCGCCGTGCCGACGCCACCGACGGTTTTCTCGCTGACCTTCGTACCAGCACCGCCGACATCCTTGTGCAATGTTCCAGGACTCTGTAATCAGAAGGAACAGACATTGTAGCGAGCTGGTATGGAGCTTCTCTAAATAAGTGAATTAAAAAAATGATCCTTGAGGGAGAATCGAGTTTGACGTGATATACGTTGATTTTTACGTTGATATACTTTACGTTTGCCCTAAATAAAAATATTCACAATTACAATAAAATTCATAATTACATAATAAACGTCCTTTCACAAAATTCTATCAGAGACGTACTCTCTCACTTCGAAGACCTCGTCAAGAAATTATCCATCAGCATTCGCGCTTGAAGAAACAATTATCAATTAATTGACCCACATCTTCGCCGGTGTATCCAAGGCACTGTCGCGAAGTGAAAATAAAGAAAAACTAACCAATTTCCTCGCGAAGTCTCTCTTCTATCTCTATCGACGGCCTTCGTCGCGC